AAAAAAAATTGAAAAAATTTCGAAAATTAGCGATTTTTAAATTTGTAATTTTTTTGGAGGTTTCCCCCATTTACCGGGGAACGGGGAATTTTTTTCAATTTTGAAGGGTAATGTCTTCGACTAGATACGATTTGTGATCTTTTGACGTATCGTTGAAAGAAATCCGTTCGGTGAGAGCTGAGAAAAAGTGGTAACAGACACAAAAAAAAAAAAACACATCATAGTAAAACCAATACCTTCTCAGCTTCGCATCGAAGCTAAAATTTGCAACATGTCTTGTTTCTAGGTTTTATTAAGCACAGTTCGTTATAGGGTATTTTGTTTTAATAAGGTACGAGGTTAACAATCATATCAAATTTATTTACATATTTAAAAATAAATTTTGACAGAGAAGTATCTTTTAATGAATTTATTTAATTTTTGGATATATATTTAATAAACTGAAAAAATATTTACTTGTATAGATCTATTGATTCAACAATTTAATTTATTAATGAGACTACATTTTTTATTAGGTGAAAACAAATTGTTTTAATATTATCAAGTCAACAAATTAAATACAAATTTTATACATTATTAGATTTTGTTGAATATTTTAATATTATTAGAATATTATAAAAACAATATTTTATAAGATTTTAGACTATTTTCTTCGCATCTTATATTAACAGTACAATGTAAGGGAGTATCTAAAATTACTGGATTTCAGTATTACATAAAAACATATTTAATTATGGAATATTATAAATAATGCATACTTAAACTTTTAAACTTAATGAAGACACTTAAATTTAATGAAAATAATTCGGTAACAAAATTTCCAGTACAAAAATAAATATTAATTAGTTTATTTAACAATTACTAAAAGGTATAAAAGATATTATCCTATAAAATTAAAGTAGTTACTATCACAAATTAAAAATTCATCAGTTTAAATAGTATTTAAGTATAAAAAATAGTTTTTCAAGAGAACAAAAATTAACAATTATCTAATTACTGAAAAAATTAGTCATTTACACATTTATTATAATTACTTTTATAAAATATACAAAAATTAATTTAAAATGTTAATTAATCAAACAAATCTATAATTTACTCATATTTTGTAAATAATAAAGTATTTACTATAGTTAAAAGTTATATTACTAATAAAATTAAATATACAATGCAACCAAATACATCTAGTTATAATTAGATATATAATTAATAATTATTAATGTTAATGGTCAAAATTCAAAACTTGAATTAATTATTAGTTAAATAAAATAATGTTAATATAGAAATAAAAAATATGTTCAATTTAACATTCTACTTAAGACAGTTCAATATTATATGTATTTAACAAACAAAAATAATTAAGTTTAAGTTATTTCTGAAGGTAAAAATTGAATCTTTTACTACAGCAGTCTTTAATTTTTCTCTCCTTAAGTCATACAAAAATAATTAAATTGAAATTTTAAATCTCTCATTTTTATATCCACAAAATTTACTTTTTAATAACATAGCATAGAAAATTTAGTTTTCTCGAGAACTAACTTTATAAGATATATTTTATTTCTNAATTTAGTTTGCTCGAGAACTAACTTTATAAGATATATTTTATTTCTTTATTCATTGTGTTTATTAACCAAATTGTTTATTATTTTGAATAGACTCTCCTAAATAATTTCAATTATACAACAAATAAAATATGTACATTAAACTATTGAAATATGCACCCTAAATAACAGGGTGAGGTAATGCAGGCTGATCTTTCACAAAAACTTTGGTACCGTATTTAAGAGCAGCTCCAAAGGGAAATTTCACATTGATCCATACTGAAAACCTCAAGTTGTAATTTAAAATTGGCCGAAATATAAAAGCCAACCATTGTTTGACTAATAGTACTTTATGAGTGAATATTTGGAAGTTATACATACATTGACTGAACCATGAATTCATATAAGGTTCTTTTTCACTAGAAGACACCCCACACAAATCCTGGGTATATCTTAAAAATGCATTTACATCTAGTACAGGCGACACTGGTTTTAGACCATCTATAAGTGCTTCAAACATTGGTTGAAATCCTTTAGGAGGTTGTCTCAAGCCTGGAGCATACACTTCATCCATAATTATAGCACATGCACATCGAACCTCTTCTAAAGTGCCTTGACATAAGTTAAATCTATAAATTAAATATAAAAGTTTGAAAAAAATATATAAATATATAGTTTAAAATATTAATTATATAAAGTCATAATTATGTAATAAATTTGACAACTAAAATATAGGAAATTTTACTTTAATAATTTCATACTAAAAGTGTTTTTCAAATAATTTTTTTAAGAAATATATTAAATAGTTTTTTAGTTTTTAATTTTAAACAGTTTGTTCGAAATTTATAAATCTTTAAATATAAATTTATAAATTTTTTTTTCGCTTCACAATTATCTTTTATTTCTGTTATTATTTTAAAAAAAAACTGTTCAAGTGCAAAAAATTTTAAGGGTATATAAGAATTGATCCCGAGACGGTAGGTCATAAGAAATGGTACCATTAGAACGTCAACAACTATCCCCCCAAATTATTTTACTTCATAAATTTAAAATAAATATGTAATAATCAAAAATATAAATTAATGACAATATCAAATTTTTATTAAATATTGATTTTAAACTCTACGATCAACTGTGGCGCAAATTGAAATACTATTAACTATTATTTGCATGGTGGTTAACAGTAGATATATATATAATACAGTCTTGGGAAGGAAAGTTATTAATTTACTAGATAATGTAATGAAGTTTTGTATTATAATTACTTTTATTTTCAAGTAACTAACAGAGGCAAAATCAAAAATAATAGGTAGATCAAAAATGTATAAATATCAAATTGCTAATCACCTCTGAAGAATTGCATTACATTATTTTCTTTACTTCTAATAATTATTTTTGAATAATTAGAAAAAATTGATAGGGACATACATTTCTTACAAAATTATACTATATATATTGTTGGGTGAATTTTTGATAGTTAAAAAATATTTTGATGGTATCCAAAATAATTTTAGCCCCCTATAGAAAAATACAAAAAAAATTTAAAAGTTGAGACTAGAATTAAAAACAAGTAATAACTGATAAAAGACTTGAATTCCGTTGCAATCGGTCTAGCTAATAGTTGATTGGTAGATTTTGTATATTATTCCTAATAAATTTTAGATAACTATTATGAAAATAATAATATTGAATAGAATTTATTATTTAGGTTATAACGATCTAACAACTTTATTTTTTAAACTTAAATAGATTATAAAGTCTTCAAATTTATAAAAACTTCAGTACGTAGTCTTTAATATTTTAATTACTTATAATAGTTAGGCCTTTTATATAAATTAAAAATATCAAACAATTTGTCCATATCTTTTAAAAAATTAATAATTGGTTTTGAAGAAAAAAGTAATTTATTTAAATCTAGATAGTTTCCATGCCGGCTACAACAGTTTCACTAAGTTTGAGCAGTTAAGTAAACCCTCATCTTTTGAAACACATTAATATATATATATATATACATACNTTAGTTATAACATATCTCAAGAAATTGTTTTTCTATTAAATCTTCATTTATTTTAAATTTATGTTAGAAAAAAATATTCCTTGCAGCTTTCAAAATATGAGATGGATCAATAAGATACACAATTTTTTTATAATTAACTTCAAAATATAGTCAGTTTTACAGTATTGCACACCACATTTGCGATATGAAATTCTTTATTTATTATTCATTATTGAAAAACAAACTGCCCCAAAAAAACTAGTTCAAAATTAACAATAAATAAATTAATTAAAAATGGATATCCGTACTCCAACACGCAAAAGTAAAACGGAACTGGAAAATGTTGGTAAATCTGGCGCGCTTACAACGGCATCATAACAAGCATTAAAAGACAGTAATGCATAGTTGAATAAGAATAATTTCTCATAAAGATTTTTATTTCCCTATGAGTGGCGATACTGGTCTTAGGCAGGTTTTGGTTTGCTTACAATTTTTGAGAATTACACGTTTCCCGTAGAAAGTGCACCATTCGGTTTTATCTTATCGATGTTATTAACATGTTACTAAAAAATAATAATAGGAAAAATACATTTTTATTGATAAATAATACTCATTATAGTCTCTAACTTGTCATAATTCATTATTTTAATTATATTTAATATTTTTAAACCTCAGTAGAAGAAAAAGTATGGTCGGGAAATGTCTAATTGTAAAAATAATAACACCCATACACTTTTCATCCCCCTCGTTTCAGAAAATTATTAATAACTTTTGAAATAGTGATCCAAAATTATTATCGGCCAGACATTTTCTTAATTAGATCATTATCTATTAAATAATCTAGTCAATTGTGTATTACCATTTGAAAAATTAAAGTTGTCACCCTTATAATAGACATAAATATATTACATGGTTGATTAACTGAAAAAAATATTAAACTAAAAAATATCAGTAAAATATTATCAATATAATTTTTATTTTTTGAATAATAAAGTGTTTATTGTACACTTACATATAAAAATTTAGTTTGTTTAACCGCACTATATATAAAAAATAATTAGAGCAATAAGTCATTACTTTTTTATCAAGTATAATAATTTCATTACATTAGGAAAAACGAATGTAACGAAAAATTGTAATTTTATTACTTTTTCAAAGTAATTTTTCGTAGACTGTGTATAAGAACATATTATAAATTATGGAAATTTACATTAAACAATGCAAAAATCGTATAAATAAATTGTGTTCTTAAACTTACTTATCATGTATACCAAGCATGTACCCTATAGTACGCCAGAAATGAACCATAGCAAATTCATCTTCTTCAGTACCAACAATACATAATTCTGATTTTCTAATTATTATCATGCCCATGAAACCAAATTGAGTGAGAGCCATATCTTTTTGAGAGACCCTAACACCTAAACCATATTTTTCAGACAATTTACTAGCAGAACAGTGGAAGCCATGTACAGTAATTACAGATTTTTGAGATCTGTCAAAATAAAAAAATTATTACAGATTAAATCTCCATAATAAATATATCATTATAAAAATTTCAAAACAAACTTTTTTTTTAAGTACATAATATACTTACTTTGATTTTAAATCTTTTACGTCATATCCATACCACCTAATCATATGCCTAATAGTGTCCTTGTATCGTTTAAATGCGTTGTATGAATCTGATGATTTATTAGTTAGTACAAGTACTTCCAATATAGAAGGCACAGTTAATACTAAAATCAGACCCATGAGTTTTCCAACAAACATAGAATAGAAATTAGCAAAAAAATACTTTTGAGCTCTGTAAAAAAAAAAAAGAAACATTGAGTAAAATATTTATTATTTTTAGGTAAATTTTAATTTAATCAATTAAAACTATAGTTAATAATTTTGTAATAAAAATATATATTAGAATCCTTACTACGAAATTAAAATTCTTGTTATAAATAAAACAATAAAAATAATTCTTAAAAATCGACTAACAAAAGAGAGGAAAAGGAAAAAAATTTATAATAAAACTGAAATAGTTATTACAAAGATTTAAAGTATAATACTATATTTGTATGATAAGTTCTGAATATAAATTTTACTTATATTTTATACGCTGAATTTAAAATATAATTTTCTGATTATTTTAAACACCAACCAATCAGTTTTTAATTTTCTATTATTTTTTTTTTAATAGAAATTTTTTAATTGTTATTGCTTAATAGTCAGTGTGTATAGCAATCACGTAAATTAATATCTAATGCACATCAGTGCGCCAAACCAATTTATAGCAATATTAGTGTATTTTAAGCCTCACAAAAAAAGTCCGCTCATCAAAATAGTGATATAAAAATTTATGCCAAGTTTTTTCGTTCATTAGTTCATAAACTTCAATCCTATTATCATAAACTGCATTACTCCTTTATTCGTATTGCTTAAACTTGGCTAGAAACTGATCAAGTCCTGGTTAAAAAAATCATTCAAAAATGATGAGGAAGATGGAAAGAAGAGAACTGAGAAAAAATTCCCTTCATTGAGAATTGAAGCTATTTTTCCTGCAATTGGCCAAGTATTTATCAATACGAATAAAAAACCAAAGGTTCTCGTAAAAATTGGAATGAGAATTATGCATAAAAGAAATAGCAAACTTGGCCACAAAGTAGATATCACTACTTTAAAATTACAAGAAAGAATTTGTTGGGGGGGGAAGGGTTGAACTTGGCCCTTTTTCACAGTTAGAGTTATTGTTGAGAATTTGGTTATATAATATGAAATACGATTTATTAACATGTACAAACGATTTGTATTAGTTTTATATTATCTCACTTTAATTCATAATACTATCTTTTTTATAATAGAAAAATTATCCTAGTTACATAATCTACTATCAACATATTATTTAGAATAGTGTTTATTACACAATCTCTATACATCAGATATATAGAAAAAATTGCAATTCCATTAAGTTTTATGAAATAATTGATAAAATAATGTCAACATAAAACTAGTTTTGTTGGAAAATAACTAAAATATTTATCTGGAATTGAAACTAAATGACAAAAATTTAACTATTTTTATAATTGTTTTTTATAATGAATATTGCGTAGCCATAAAGCCCTCAGCCATAACGAAATTACGTAAGATCGCCATGTATAAGAATTTTGTTAAATCATTGTAAGATAAAGCCGATCGCAAATAATTGGAATTGAGGCTAAAGAAATAATGCATAGTTACAAAATCTAAGATCTAACAAATTAACGAAAAAAGTGTTGATACAAAAAAAATTACTAAAAAAAACTATGACGCCAATTGAGACAATTTTAACCCAAGATGACTGTGCTGATTTTAAAACTTTTTATTCCAATTTAAATTATTTATAAAATAACATTTTTAAGTAAATGAACGAAATTTACTTTTAAGGTATTTGTAACGCATATACTAAATGATAAATCTTAATAAATTAACATCTTACATTATTAGTACAATAACACTCGATAATATTCCAAGAGAAGAGAGGGAATAATGCGAAAATGTGATGTCTCTTTCTAATTAATAAAAACGTTCATTTCCGACTCATTGCGTTTTAAATTTCATTTAAACAAAAATGATACCAAATTAAAAAATTCTGGTCAATGCCAAATTTTGGATAGTTATTTTTAGAGGTAATCGCTGTATTAAAATATCGATTAGAGAGAGTGTGGTGAAACTTAATTTGATTTAATCTTGACCTGTTTCGATATTGACGTGAAAAACATATAAAATTATTAGTTTATAATCTCAATACATTTTATTTAAATAACTAAAAAAACTATAGTGACATATAAATTTCAAAAGTCTCGCCAGTAACTTTTAAATAAACACCTTAAACATTTCTACGATATTCTTTGTGAATTTTTTATATTTATATTTTCTATACATTTTTTTAATTATATATTTGATTTTAAGATAAAAAAACTATACAGGGCAATTTTGTTAATATTGCATTTCTACCAGGACCAAGTTTTAAATACGTTAATAATTAAGTGACTATTTTGAATAAATACATAATTACAGACCACGTATTATTTAAATGTAACTTTGACTAACTATAAATACTTATGTGTAATTGATATCAGGTGTATTTCAAAATTGACGTTAGGTAATAACTACTTAAATAATTAATTGTACATAATAAAGTAAAAAGCCATTTTAACAACAAGTAAAATGTGACTAAATGTTTAATAAATTTTAAGGAATATTAATTTAAAGATAGAGTAGAAATAATAGTGATATTAACACTCAGCAAAACTAAAATATGGATAAGAATTATCCAACAAAATAGAAAAAAATGGATAGCAAAGAACATTATCAATACTGGATCTTAACTCATAAGAGTTTAATTTGAAGAAATGAATTATAAAAAAACAAAGATTACCTAGTGAATAACTGTTCATTGAACCATTCAGGTAGATGTTCGGGTCGTTTTCTGTCAACAGTTATAAGGGATCCCTCATCCATAATTAATTTTACCCGCCGTTTAACATTATCCATGTCAGTGATAGCAGTATCCAAGTTCACCGCTACAAAATAATCAACAGAATATTAACACTAGGGTTAAGTAAAGAATAAACCATAGATCAATAGTACTTACAAGAAGTATCCATAAAATAATAATATCCAACAATATTATTAATCTTGACAGACTACCAAAAGAGTGACACGTGTTGTTGATTAGAGTGGGACAAGAACACGACTTGAGTTTTACGGCTAAGTTGCTGTGTTCGTACATTATTTGAGACGACCCAGTTACACTATTTAGAAAGTAAATCCGATAGAAAGTATCGACGAGATGCACAGAACCAGTATGTCGATCCAACGTAGTCGACTACACTTCAGTCAACATAGTATCTTCTCGTTGCTCTCAATGCCGCCAACATACTACCTGATTCAGTATTGTTATGTTTTCACGAGTACTACGTGAAATATGTTATATGTTATACACACCCTTCGTAAATATACTACCGTGGTGAGCAGACTCAAATGTTATGATGGACAATTGTAGATACTTTGTCATAGAACTCGGTATCTTGCACCACTATCGCCTCGAACCCAAATGACAGATGGTAGGTGCGACCGTTGCGCCCTCACTAGATAATATTAAACACCATAGGGATTACTGTTAAGCAGACTTCAAAAATATCGCAGAATTATTATTTCGCGAGCGAAAGAATAACTGCTTAGTAAAGATATAATTTTAAGACAAAAGTATAAATATGTACGCAATAGACATTCATTCCATTTAGAAATACCTATTACTTAACTTGCTATAAAAAATGTCGTAAACGATTAACATCTAAAATATTCATTCCTTTTTTTATTCGTGTTGTTAAATGACGTCAATAATAATGACTATAACTACAAAATAATATGATCAAAAAATCAGTTATTTTTGATAAATGAACTCAACTTAAGTTGTCAAATTATAAATTTCAGAGTGTATTTCTAGTCCTATCTGCACTAGGAGTGTGCAAAGTGTAATCTCGCACAAGGCCCGGCACTTTATGGAGCTTTACAGCGTTACCTACACATAAGCTTCACCATTAATAAAAATTTAATTCACCTGGTATCAAAAGCGTGATCCAATATTAAAAATAAACGAAACATTTTGAAATAATAATTTTTTTTTTATTTTTCACTTTATTTAAAATTTTTTTATTACGATAAAAGTTAACATATTTATTTTGTTTTTTATAATATCTTTATAGACTTTTTTAATTATTTAACTTTATAACCAAAAAAAAAGGTCATTAACTTTTATAATGAGCTCACAAAAAAAAATAGCACAAGGTATCGCAATTACTAGTCGCGGCTATATGTGCAAGTTAGATATATCACCTTCTGTAATTTAGTAAAAGTTACATCCTTTGTGTATCATTTCTCAGAAAAAATCCTAATTACGCAACTGACGGCAATATGATACTGTAAATATTACATAATAACTTGTTGTCCTTCAATTAAGTCATAAATAAGAAAATTCTTAAATAACGTCGACAATTGATTTCAATGCAAACAATATTTTAAAAAAATATATAAAATTAAATAATCCAAATAGAAATTTTATTACACAAAATAATATTGAATCGCAGTAAAAATCGTACTATTTTGGTACTTTATTTGAAACTATCATTATAAAGTACATTTCACTGCAAAATCACTAAATACACAATGCATTATTATTGTTAATATGTTATTATAATCTGAACGCTCTATAGTACACAACAAGTTCCAGCGATGCTAACAATTCTTAACACAAAACAATTCACTCGGCTTTGTTAAGCTCGTACCTCTGGGATTATAAACATGTAGAAATATGATATTTGGTATAAGTGTAGGTCTTTTAGTATAAATAAAGGAAAAAATCTGAAAATTGTTGTTTTCTCATTATAATTAGTTTTATAGATAAAAGCGTTAGTTAAGAGTGGTAGAACATCCAGTGGCATTTTCAGATTTTTCGTGGCTCATAAAAATTATTTATTTTGTAGCAAAAATGAATATCCTCAACATAAATATAACTGTGGAAAAGGGTCAAGTTACAACATCTCCCCTCAAAAATTCCGTTTATCAAAGTAATAATATCTACATTGTGGCCAAGTTTGTTCTTTGTTTAATTTAAAAACTTCAATCCTATATTCATGAGCAACATCGTTGTTCAGGGTATCTATTCTAAATTTTGGCAAAATCTTTTTTAATGGCTCATTCAAATGAATCCAAGTAATAAACAATACAAATAAAGGAACAATGTTACTCATGAAAATGGCTTCATTTTTTTCATAGTAAGGTTTTTGCTAGAGATACTAGTTTTTCAATCGATGAATGGTAAAATAATAAAAGTACTTAATGAAGTGAAAATATAAATAATATATTTTCATCTGTACTAATTTACCCACATAATTTTATTTTTTAATGTCAAGGACAATTATGTTGAAAGTAAGATACTTATGTTAAATATTACCACTAAAAATTAAGTTTTAATCAATACATTACTCAAATATATAGTGCGCTAAAAATAACTATGATATCCAACAAAAATTATATGATTATCGACTTTACAAGCCGATTATCTATAAAAGACAAGTCGTTAGAATTTCTTTCTTTTTATTACAACTGTAATTTCTCTTAACTACTGGGACTGATGGTAATTTTTCAGTATTATGGTGTTGATATATTAAACTAAGTACCTTTGGTTATTTTTTTACTTATCGCTAAGCAAAATCAGTCCAGTGGGAACGGAAGCAATTACGTATACGAATATAAAAAACCACAACAGAGTATAACCAATAGCTCCTCAGATACATATCGAAGCTAAGATAACATTTGAATAAACAGGAGCTTAAATACGGGGTCTCACTTACTACCTCTGACAAAATGGTAGGGTAACAAAAGTTTTGCGACCCCTAAATTCTTTCATCGTCCTTCAAATTACTAAGTGTTCAATGATAAATGTTTGCTAATTATTGTTCGATTATGTAAGCACAATATTGTATAGTTATTCAATAGTTCGTATGTATCTTATTGATCTAATCATTTAAAAAAAAAATTTTTTATTGACTCGGTGCCCACTCAGTGTATATAAGTATATTGTTTCTGATTAAATTTACGTTTGCTTATCAATGCGATATAAACAGACTACTGTTTTTCATATAGATGTTTTTAGAGCAGTGGTCGGCAACCTTTTTTAATTCTCGGGCCACATTTACAAATTAAAAAGAGTTCGCGGGCCAGATAAAAAAANCCATATCTATCTTATTATTACAGGCCGGGGTATAACCGCCCTGTGTTGTCAACAGCTGTCAAATTTTTATTCTTCTCATGTGTTTATTTTACACTAAATACTTCAATAATAATTTTATTTTATGATTTATATCATCAAATCATGGATAAGTTTTTAAAGAAGTCCTTAATACTGAAGTAACAAGATTTTTAAAATTAAAAAATTTTCATTCAATGCCTGGATTATATTTGTTAATTTTGAATACTTATTAGTTTTCCATATAAAGATTTAATATTATGAAAGAACAATTATATATTTTTAATGTAATTAGCATTAGTCATGTATTTGTTGTTTTACACGAATAAATTTTAAATAGAAAATCAAGAATATTAATTTAGTTTTTTAATTTTTGTGAAATTATAAAATAGCCATTTTTAGCCCTTGTTTTTAGAAAAATTTTGATGGGTGGTCGACAAAAACTTATTTAGTTACAAGAATTTAATATATTAAGTAAGTTGTAGCGCGGGTGGGTATAGCTCATAATGGTTTACGTATACTCCGCCCACACTGAAATGGGAAAATCATTCTGTAAATAGATGTTTGGTTTGCGAGCCCTACTTTTTGAGCTTGTTTTTATAAATATAAATACTAAAAAGTGATTAAGGGGAAGTCGAAAATGCTAATATCATCTGAGGTAATTTTTAATAATTTTGCGACTCATACATTTTTGCTTAAATTACGCCCTAATGAATAAACATAAAATATGTTTAAAATATATATAACATAGATGAAAAAATGTGTTAATTCTAGTATTATAACAATGTTTATGTACAACTACACAACTGAATACATTTTTTTATTCAGCACTAAAAGTAAACAAATAAAAATATGTGATTTTTTCGGAGAAAAAACTAAATGTTTAAATAAAGACATCGGAGTTATAATTGCATACACAATTTTTGATAATTTTATCCATGATTAAAAATTAAAAAAGTCAATAAATAAATATCAAATGGCTCAATTAATTATCCTTTTTGTTTATAACATTAGAGATAGAATTCATACAAAATACTTTGGTTCCAAACTTAAAAGCAGCAAACAGTGGAAAACTTTCATTAAGCCATATAGCCATTTTAATTTGAAAATTCATAACTGGTCGAAAAAACCATACCAACCACCATTTTGTCAGTAGCACAGTAATTATAAATGTTTGTGTATTGTATGTAATTTGACTACGGGTATTAGTCAATTTTCTTTCAGGAAGGTCGCATACCCTCCACATGAATTTCATAAATGACTCAAAATCATTCAAAGGAGATATAGGTTTTAATCCTTCAATTAAATAGCCGACCATGTTGTTGAATTCAGGCGGAGGGTTTTCGAGTGATGGCACGTAAACTTCAGACATTATTTCTGCACATAAGCTACGCACTTCTTCTAAACTTCCATTACATAAATTAAACCTGCAACAATAATATTCTAAGCATATTTTTTTGATTAAATTTAGCATTATTATTATTATTTTTTTTAATATTTCAATATTGGAACTCAAAAGCTCCTTGTCATCTTTACTGAGTAGCATAGATGTGTTAAGACAGTTTTCGGATGTCATGTACTTTAATTAACTATGCAGAGCGCCTCTCTAAGGAATAGACTCTATTTACACCCCTTACAGATTGTATTCGCTTTAATCATACTTTTATTTTTAATAAGTGTTTATATTTTTTAACTTTTATAAGTACTCACTCATCTTTAATCCCTAACAAATATCCAATAGTCCTCCAAAAGTGCACTAACGCCATTTCATCGTCTTCAGAAATTTGAATAGCTAAATTTTTATATTTCAACAATACCAGTCCGATAAAACCGAATTGGGTTAGAACCATGTCTTTTTGATTAACTCGAATACCAAGACCGGCATTAAATGATGTTTTAGCAGCAGCACAATGAAATCCACTAACAATCGATAGAGACTTGCGAGATCTGATTAAAAATAGTCATTGGGATAAAATAAACAATACATATTTCAACACATACTACAACTATCGTACTTCGATTTAATATTGTGAATATCATAATGATACCATTTTAGCACATGTTTGATTGTTTCTGTGTATCTTTTGTACGCTGCATATGGATTAGATGATTTATTAGTGAGTATCAATACATCTAATATGGTGGGTATAGATAACACAGCCACTAATCCAATGAAACCTGCCAAGAATATGGAATAAAAATTTGTATTGAAACATTTTTGTCCTCTAAAACAAAATTTAATTTCAATTCAATTCAGGTTACAAATAAAAAATAATCTAAATTAGTAAATTTTAAATTAGTGTTTATAAACAAATCATTTTATGTAAAACTAACTAAATTATTCTTAATTTAATTTCAATTTATTAAATTCTAATTCATTCAAACCCAAAATGTATAGAAAATTTTCTACCTACATAATATGGATAAATTGGATGAGATTGACCTGTATAATAGATAATTTAATATGCATTCATTAAATACTCAAGTTTTTTGTAACAAACTTTTAAGAATATTTGATAAATTTTTTAATAATTGTTTTTTCAATAAAAATTTCATATTCGATATAAATTTTAAAAATTGGTGTACTTGAATATGTTTATTATTTTACACTGATATTTTAATCGTATTTTTTTTACAAATAAATAAGTTAAACTATACTTGAAAATTTACTTCTTTATTTCTTAATTTATTTTTGAAAAAAATATTGTTATATTTTATACATAAAAATAGTTATTTTAATACATTTAATATGTTCAAATAAATTTTTTTTTTTGAGCAAATAATTGTGTATTATTTTTCAAAAAAGTAAAATGTCACTAACATATGTAACCTTTGAAGTTCACGTGGGGGTAATTTTATAAAGGATGTGAGGGTATCACGTAAACATTAATTAAATTCATTAGTAGTACTATCTTTAAATCACACCACTGCAAGCACCAGTAGACGATGCCGCCCATACGCTTTTAGACTGTCCTTTTTAGGATACAAAGAAAATAATACTTAAAAAGTTTAAAAAGTAATTGGCTTAAATAACCTATAGACATATCTACTCGATTAGAGAAAATGTTAGACGATTACGATAATTGAAACTCATTAATGCTTGGGAAAGAATACGCTTTGCAGATGCTTGGAAAACAGAGGGTGTTGTGCCCAATGACATACTGACATTTATTCGTGGCTTTAAACCCCAAAATCCAGCACCTACCTTTCCTGATTTTTTGGATCCGTCTGTATATATCACAAATCCTCCTTTTTCAGTCAGGTGGTTAATATTCCATTCTCTACGTGTAGTGATTTCCACTTTGTAGGGAATGTTATTCTTAGGAACGGTTTGATATAGTCCAAGGGGTATTCCAAAAAGCCCTGGTCTATCTCTTTTAGTATTTTACTATGTTCTGTTGTATCACTATCCAAAGTCCACATACCTAAGTTATGGAATCTTAGTGCTGTGGCTTTGGCATAAGCTTTAACCTCTAGATGCAGAGGAGGCAATCCAATTAGTGCCTCTAATGCGACCGTTAGTGTAGTTCTTAATGCTCCAGTGATGGCCATAGCAAACATTCTCTGTATGTGACTAAGTTCTTTCCTAGTTGTAACGAGTGCTGTTCTAGTCCATCAGACTAGGGCACCGTACAATATCATAGGTTTAATCACTTAAGTGTACAACCAATACATAACTCCAGATTTAAGACCCCATTTCTTTCCCAAGGCTCTACTGCAAGTCCACAATGTGGTCATTGCTTTTTTGATTCTTGACTCAACATGCGATTTCCATTTTAGCTTACTATCTAAGATAATACCTAAGTATTTTACTTCCGATTTTAAGCTATATTCTTGTCCATTTAAAGTAAGATTGTCAAGACTGCCTAGTCCTATTCTCCTTCTAGTGAACATAACAACCTCTGCTTTATTTGGATTAACAGATAGACCATACTTACTACACCATATCTGTATAGTGTTTAGTCTCTGTTGTGCTAAGTCTATAATAGTGTCTGGGAATTTACCCACCACTGCTATAACTAAGTCATCCGTAAAGGCTTGTGTATAACAATATTTGTTTAACTCTCTAATAAGCGAGTCCAACACTAGACACCATAGCAAGGGGGATAGAACCCCGCCTTGTGGGCATCCCTGTTTAACACTTTTGATTACTTTGGTCTCAATAATAATTTTGGAGCTATCCCAAAATGGAGCGTTCCTTAAGCATGGATTCTATCCACTTAGTAATAAGTGGTTCTATTCCATGATGTGAAAATTCACACATAGCATCGAAGGGAGTATTGTCAAAAGCCCTTTCTATATCCAGGAATATACCTACTACATACATTGTGAATATTATTAATGCACCCCCAACAATCTTTGATTCGAATTAAGTCATTATTGTAGAAGTTATATTGTTTTTAAATAAATGACATAACCTGGGGAGGTAATCCTTCACGGCTAGATCCCTTTTCCCCGGGCTATCTAACCATAGAAATAAAAATAACATTTTAAATCATATAATGTAATTTTTTAATCATTATGGTAATTTAGTCGACAAAATTCATTCCACACTCCTGAAATATTCTCTAAGATCACCCTAACATACAGTTTTCATAAATTTCTATAGATTTGAATTATATTTTTTTTGTTCTTAAAATGCAAATATTAAACGAAGTTGTAGCGATAAATTGATTTGGTTTCAATTTTTTTTATAAGACATAAGCTAAACATATTGATATATTATAATATTAAAATTTTTAATATATTTTGAATTAATCAGCTTTTATTAAAAGTATCGAAATATTACCTTAGAAAGAGTTTCTCGTCGAACCATTGGGGTAACTCTACACGCATTTTATCCACCCCAATGTTGACTCCATCTTTTAAAATTAATCTGAACCTTTTTTTAGCTAAATCTGTTTGATTATCTTTTGACAGTTTTGTCACTAAAAAAATTATTTATTATTTATTATTAAATTAATAAGTATTATTATTAAATAAAAGTAATTCATAATATTAAAATTTATTTATATTAAAATGTTAAAGTTATATATAAATTAATTTTGAAATAACAGCTCAATTTCATTTTAGGCAAAAAATAAGCTTCATACCTTATTATCTTATCAGAATTTTTAATTAGACCAGTCTCTAATAAGATTGGTATTATAACTCAACAATTATCAAATACTATTTTTTTATATAAAATGTAATAAAGTGTTACATTTAAAATAATCATTTGACTATATTAAATGAGATAAATTAAACAAAAATTGTTATTATTAAACACTTATTGTTGGTTTAAATTAATCACCTATTAAGCATTGAAATTTTAAGAAAACAATTGTATTTATCATGCTGGTATTTTTATAATTGTTTGTCTATATTTATAAGTTATTTAATATATACTATTGTAAAACGATTTTTAAATATTAGAGGATCAAGAATTTATATAAACGTAAATAAGAACCCCTTATAAACTTAAAATAACTAATATTATTTTTTGAAGAAATATCAAACACAGCACAAATGGTTTTTTTATTGTATAAATGAAAACTCATATCCAAAGCCTTTACCAAGGCCGGAATATGTAATCCAAGGTTACCATAGCGTCCTATCATCAAGGTTAGGAGCTTCAGATTTTTTATTAAAGCATAACACATAGTTTAAATAAAGTATAGATCAAGAGGCCACATTTAAATGTTACAACCCGAGCCACATAACTCTAAATCTGTTCTTGGTCTTGATAAAATGACTTAATTTCTTCGTAAAATAAATAATTAAGCAACTTTTATTTTTATTCTTTATTATCTCTATCTATACTAATCTTACAGTTAGTTACAACTATAAAAACTTATTTAATTTATGCTCGAACACAATAATAAAATTGTATTTGTAAACCGAATTTATTCTGCATTAAAATTTAAAAACTATAGAAATGTATAGTTTTTTTTCGATTTAAAAAAATTGAAACATATAAGTCATCAGCCTGAAATATACATAAAATTATTGCTCTAACTTACATGAGATTCTTATATTTTACTTTTAAATCAATCAATGTTTAAACCTAAAAATGATTAATTTAAATACTAATGGCCATTTAATGAGTCTAGGCAACAAGCCAAACGATTTTTTTTTAATTATATATATTATCTAATAACATAAAATTCTTCAAAATGCTTAAAATCGTCATAATATAGTTGAATTTATCTATTATTTGCTACATAATGATGGAGGCTCTATTTATAAAAATTGACATAATCTACTTAGAATAAGAAAATAAAAAACACACAATGTAAGTTTAAAGGGAAATCAAATCTGTGATGTCGCCATCAAATCATTGATTAATCTCAACATTTATCAATTTGATGATATGTCCTTATTGTTTTAATATTTAATTGATAAATATTATGTTAGATTATCAAAAATATTATATTTATAAATATATAATAAAAATTGATCACTTGTGGCTAGTTAATTAAGTAAAATTAAAACTATATTAAAAATATTATTAATTTAAAAAAACTAAAAAATATTAAAAATATTAAACTCAAAAGCCACAAAAAAATTAATGAAAAGTCGCGGATACGTATTTCGGAAACAATGTTACCATTATCAACGCTAAACACATACTGACACCCCGACTAGAAAAAACTCCCTTATATACCCCTAGTGACCTTATCACCTAGNAATTGTATATTTATAAAATTTAAATTTATAAAAAGTATATAATTCTCAGACTACATGAGCAGATACAGAATGACATAAAATGATACAGAATTCTAAGTAATTTAACTAGATTAAAAAAATATATATTTAACTACATAAAACTAATTACATTAAACTGTGTAATTCTCAATATAAATACTAGTTTAACTTAAAAAATTATTATTGAAATTAATAAGCATAATTTGGACATTGTTAAAATGTTTTATAATATTCAACAGGTAGCAATACTTTAAGTAGTTGTTAAATTAAATTGAAAAAAAGTAAAACAACTACCATTTAAATTAACATACTAACAGAATTTCCCTAATGAACAGTAACTCAACATAATATGGTGAAAAAAGGTGGAAGTTGTACATAATAATCTTGTTGGTAAACAAAAAAAAAATTATTATTTAATGCAATCCGGTAAAGATATTAGACATGGATTGATGTTATTTTGCGCCACCATTAACTTGATAGAAAACATAAAAGATAATTATTTAATTTATTTACAATCTAAGACTTAAAAATTGAGCAATCAGAATATTTAATACCACACATCATATTTTAAATTATAAGTAACTAAGTTTGCTTACTTATGTCTCAGTAATTGTCTTTAGACACAATCGACTTTTTATCTTACGGTAGTACAACTACTATAACTAAACGTTAACTTGTGGCATTCATGTTCGGTAAAATTAGCAGTGGAGAGTGCAGTTAATAAGGCAAACATATATTTCTAGTATTGGTCAAACACTCCGACTCTCAACATTTCTGGGCTATTTTATTTAACAAACTATTACACGCAGAATTTTTAACTAGTGGGGAGTACAATAAAATTAAAAAATTATATTAACACACGACTTTTAAGGATTATTGCATAATTATAGACAATATTTTCTATTTTGTCGATAAAAATAATTTATAATTTAACTATACTTTTTGCTGGATGTAACAAATATTGATAAGTTAAATTGAATTATTCAGATTAATTAAATATCTATCAACATAATATGAAACAGATATATTATTTCCAGTTCCTTTTTAATCTCACATTGATGATAAAATTTTTTTTGCATTTATTTTTTTCTACTTGAATATACTATAATAATAAATTTAAGTTTATTAAGTCGACTATTGACATATTAACGCATTGAGATTAATTATTATACAGTGTGAAATAGAAGATATCATAAGAAATTTAAACCGTAAGATTATAACTGTTCATAATTACTTTATCTTTAAATTAAAATAATGTGTGTTTTCAAAGTCGAAGTGATCAGTTAAAACAATCATTTTCAAAATAGTGAGATTAGGACCACATTAGTATAAATAGTCTATATACAGAGTAATTAATTTATTGTTTACCAATAGATTTCTTCTAAAATAATAATTCTGAAAAAAAAAATATTTGGTTTATTTAAAAAGAATATATTTCTGAATTTTTAAGCGGTTAAATACTTTTTATATCTATCCCTTGTCCCTTATAAAAATACCAACTTTATTTTTTAAATGACAACATACATACTGATTGTTGGTTTATTAAATGTCACAAGTAGCAGGTGATATTCGTTAAGATTTAAAAATAGAAAAATCAAAAATTAAAATTTTGTATTTCCAAAATTGAGGGTTTTCCGTTCCCTACTTCGAGTTTTATTTTATAAAAAATAAACGTCACCATGTTATTTGCTATGAAATTGTCATACAAATTGAGTGGTCATTGGATTTTTTGTCCTTTTCCTGAACTTTGTATACAAAATTGTATTAATATTTCACTAGGAGTTCGTTATGTAGTTTATTTTTAGTTTAGACGATTACTTAACGAGAAACATTAGAAACCCGTGGATAGTGTAATGCTTCATGATTTCACAAATTTATTTCTTCTTTTATTATTTATTCAAACAGATTAATACTTTTTACTATTAACACTGTACTATAACTGAAATACTAAAGTAAGTTTATTTTTTGAAGTCACAAAACAAAAACATTCACAAGGTTGAAATAACTATTTTAAACTTTATTACAATAGGATATTTAGAAATATTTATTTTTGTTTAATTGGCGCACTACTTTTTCTCGATATTAATCATAAATTAGAATGTGCTATATCACTGTACTTCTAAATATTTATTCAGACATAATTAAGTGTTTATATAAAGATAGATGTATAAATTTAAAACAACCATTTCACCTATTGTGGTGTATAGGTATCCCACCAAGTTTTGACATATTTTATAACTTTTGATTTAGTGAATGTGTTGTGTTATTTTTTTTTTTTACAGTTTTGGACTTTGTTAAAAGCATATATTTTAATATTTGTCTTTAATAAGAAAAAAAAATGAAAATAATTTTTTTACTTCTTCAATTTAAAAGTTTTAAGTACTTATTTAGCTGCAAGCATTAAAATATAATGAGTGGAAATAGAACTCAGGCGAAGTAACGTACACCAGTACGAGCTGAACCCACACTATATATTTAATTGCTTGAAACTCCATAAGTACTTATCCCTAGGTTGTTATCGATCAGTCAAAATTTTTCAAAAGTATAAAATTATGAAATTTTAAAAAATAATTTTCCATTTTTTCTTATTAGAAACAAATAATAAATAATATTCTTTAACGTAGTCCAAAACTGCAAAAATTATTTTTAAAAAAATAGTAATAAAAAACATTCACTGAATAAAAATTATTAAATACACTCTATATATTTATATTTACAACCCATTAAAGGTCATTGCAGCCTACTTTAAATAGGAGGTTTCTTATCTCATTATGATACCGAAACATAAGACAAAATGAATTTATACTTATGAAAATATTTTAATTGATAATATTTAAGTATAAGCAATTGGCTAATTGAAATTTATTTTGACTTTGCATAGCTTTAATTTATATAAATACAAAAAAAATTAATTAAATATCTAATAAATTTCCAAATATTTATTCTACTAATAAAATATTGCTATTTTGAATTAAAAATGACGTATGTAAAAATCAAATAAATCAAATGAACAGATATATTTTTTTATACTTGTATATTTCTATTTTTAGATCGTTAAATTTTTTAAAAGATATTTTTAAAAAATTTCCACGAAAGAATTATACTGACAAATCATTAGCAGTATTGACTAGTGGAGGTGATTCTCAAGGTAAAGCAACATTTCCTTTAAAAATTGTCATATAAAAATAATTCTAATATAAAAAATTGAATTATTACTATAATTATTATAAATTGGTAAGGAATGAATGCTGCAGTAAGAGCTGTTGTAAGAACATCACTACAATTCGGGTTAAATGTTTACCTGGTGAAAGAAGGATATCATGGACTAATTAGGGGCGAAGATTTAATTCAACAAGCTACATGGTATGACGTATCTTTTATAATAGGTCAGGTATGGTTTCAAGATAATTATACAAGAAGTTTTATAAATGTATGTTTAGACATAAAGCTAAAATATTCAAATGATTTTTAGGGTGGAACTGTTATTGGTACCAAAAGATGTATGGAGTTTACTACCATAGAAGGAAGAATGAAAGCAGCTAAAAATATGATAAATTTGGGTATTTCTAATCTAGTAGTTATTGGTGGTGATGGTTCGTTAACTGGAGCTCATATTTTTCGACAAGAATGGCCGAATTACGTTAAGGAGCTCTTAGCAAAAGGCATTTTGATATAAATCACAGGAGTTAATTTCTTTTTAACTGTTTACATACTTTTTATATTGATGTGATACATTAGAAGCGTATTAATGAAATATGTTTACTTTATAAATAAACTCATAATTCAACAAAACACAATAATAATTATAATATGTATGATATCATTTAAATAGGACATATTAGCGAAGAAATGTCAAAAAAATGTAGTCACTTAAATTTGGTAGGTCTTGTTGGATCTATAGACAACGATTTTTCGGGTACTGATATGACAATTGGAGCAGATACTGCATTACACAGAATTCTTGAAGCTGTGGATGCTATTACATCTACTGCATCATCACATAAAAGAACATTTATAATGGAAGTCATGGGACGTAGTTGTGGGTAAATAAAAAAATAATAAATAATAAATGAATAATTCCAATATAGTTTTTTTTAACATAATTATTATAACAAAGGATTGCGTGTATTAATTGCGTATTGTGTATTGCGTGCAAGCGGCCTACTTAGCTCAGTTGGAAACAGGTTGTGCCTCAATACTTTGGTACCAGGACTCAATTTCATTTGTGCTGGGCTATGTAGGTTTTCCCATTCTCTTTACTATAAATATAGCTTTTCAGGAATACGTTAAAGATAAATAGAGCAATAATAAATCATAATATATATTGTGGTATTATCAAGACAATATTTATTTAATAGTAATATGTATTGATATAAATAAAAAAATTATTTAATTGTATTTTTTTTTTTTATTATAGCTATTTAGCTGTCAAAAGTGCTTTGATGTGCGAAGCAGATTATCTTTTTATTAGAGAATGGCCTCAACCATTGAGTTGGCCTGATAAACTAAGTGATGCAGTCCGTGAGGTCAGTTACAACTGCAATGATTTACTTATCTTATGTTAAAATTTCATGCACAGCTTTTGACAATTTTAATTTTAAAAATGATATTCTAGTTAAATTTCAACCTAATCTATCAATTTATTTCTGTAATATCTAGACATTTTTTTGTCTTTATTTTAATATTTATTTTTGAAATTTTTAAATACTTAACAATTTTCTGTGGATCATTTCGTCCCTTGATATAATTTATATTAAAACAAGTGATTTGAATTTTAAAATTCCCAGTATATAAAGCACATAGAAAATCAAATTTTAGACTCTACTTTTTTTTAATCTACAACTTCAAATTAATTAGTATTTCTTAACATATATCTCTGTACAAACTTAATATAGGCAAGGAAAATGGGTAAAAGGCTGAACATAATTATTGTTTCGGAAGGAGCAATGGATGTAAATGGTAATGCTATAACTTCAGATGCAGTGAAAAAAGTATTAGTTGAGAAATTACAACAAGATGCCAGAGTGACTGTTCTCGGGCACGTACAAAGAGGAGGCAATCCTTCTGCTTTTGATAGAATTTTGGTAATTTAAGTATTAGTTTTAAATAGTTAAAATTTTCTTATTAATTTTAATAATAATTTAAAGATTATTAATTTTAAAAGAAATTAAAAGATTTTTATCGTAATTTTTTTTTAGGGAACATAAGTCCAAAATAATAACTTTCATTGTAATTGTTGTTAAGTCTAACAGTAAACTAAACCATAAAATAATCTTACACAATACCCGAAGGTATATAATAATAATATATTACACTTCTGTGTGTATATAATTATGACTTTTACGAGCAACAATATCCCAATGAATTGTTTTATATAAACTGTTTTATGATAAGTTGCTAACAGTCAATCGATGATTTATTTATGATCAATTGTGTATCCACACATAGCTGATTGATGTTATAATTTCACTACGTATAACTTGAAATATAATAATTTTTTAGCATATATTTCAAAATCTTTAAATATATCAAATTGATAAGTGTCATTAAAATGTATAAATATTCTGATATATTAAATTTCCTTTGCAAAAAAGCTAGATTTTTTTAACGATATCGTTTTTTATCTGAAGGCATCAAGAATGGGCGCTAGCGCTGTATTTTACATATTAGAAGCTACAAATGATTCTGAATCAGTTGTTGTATGTCTAAGTGCCAATAAAATTATTAAGTTATCACTAATGGAATGTGTTTCTAATACTTTGAAAGTGGCAAAAGCAATTGAACGCAGAGATTTTAAAACGGCTTTAATGCTTCGTGGACCGTATGTTACTTAGTTACCAGCTTAATATAAAATCTCAATATTTCATTTGAATACAAAACTGCGATATTAGATAAATTATATAAACAAATAATTTTTAAACCATTTAACATTATATCATATTACCTCAATTACGTTTAAATAATAATATATTTTATTAGTTTTCTATTTTTTGGTAGTTACTCTGAAGTGATTATGCTTAATAAACTGAACATTAATACCCTTAAACGCTATCAAGCCTACTAGAGTCATATAAAACGTAATTGTAAAATTTACTAATTTTTTTAAATATTTTTATGTGCACAATATTTTTATTTAGAAATTTCAAACTAAACCTCGACACTTACAAACAATTAATCAGGGAGAAACAAAGTAACGATAGTAGTGATGTAAGTAATTAAATAATTAAATAGAAGTATTATTGTAATCAATAAATATTGTGTTCAGGGAAACATAACACTCATACTAAATATCGGAGGTTCTAGTAATGGAATTAATGCCCTAACCTATTCAATAGTTCGCAATACTGTCTCATTTGGTGACAGAGTATTGGGGTCAAAATATGGTGTTGAAGGATTTATCGAAGGCGATGTAATTATTAGACAATACTTTAAAACTAAAGCTCAAATAGAAGTCGCTTTTAAAAGGCTAATAATAAGTATCGACGCATACAAAAAAAATATACACTAAAAAGTATCTTAAAATAAGTAATGTTATAATCATTTTTATTTTTCTGACATAATTTTTTGTATTTACGAATGAAGAAAAATATTTTTCAAGTCAGAAAACAATATACCATATCATAATATAATATTATATTATAAATAGGAGCTCTTATAAATACTATCATAAAACAAATTAGCCAAAATAATTTTTAATTTTCCTCATAAAATTTTACACATAAACTTAATAAAATTTAAAATAAAAATACACTAATCCTTCAAATATAACGTCTATAGAATATGTATTTATATAAGCTAAAAAAATTTCCCGTTTCATCTCCAACTAAATTCTTAAACATTTTTTACAACCATTGATTTACTCTCAAAATAATATGAAAATAAGTATAAATTTAAACTTTAGTTAAAATTATTAAAAAATTATGTTATAAATGAGCTAAAATAAGCAATTATAAAATTAACAGGTTGTTGAGCTTTACTGGTCGAGTGTAGTTGGTTGGTTAGATCGTGGAGGAGTTAAACTAGGTATAACAAGAGTAATTCCTAATGACAAAATGCTAAAAGAAATGGCTGAAAAATTAAAGTTCTTTAAAATAAATGCATGCATAATTGCTGGAGGCTATGAAGTAACTATAACGTGAAAATACACAAAAACCATACATAATTTATTGTCTATTATATAAAAATAAAATAGTAACAAAATAGTTACTCAAATTTGGTAAAAAACATAATAAACAAGGATCATGTCCCTTCCCCAATGGCTGTATTAAATTTTTGTAGCAGTACTTCTTTATAAATAATGAAAAAAGATGAGGAAGAAAAGATCTTTAATATAAATTGACAGTGAAATAACTAATGTAACTAATTTTGTTTAAACGGGATAAGTATTAGAACATTTTTCACTACCCCCTCCAAACAAAATAACATTGTAACTTAATCAATTATTTTATCAAGGAAAAATGATCCCCTTCATCCAACCTTGATTACGCCCTATGTAACGCTACGAGTCTTTCAAATACACCGAGTAATTTCCTTTTATAATCAAGAAATCTTGATTACACCATTAATTACAATCAATAATTTACTGTTCTGTTATTACACAAAAAATAAATAAAAATAAATATTTTATAATTTTAAACGCAGGCTCTTCAAACAGCTATAGCAATGTACGATAATCGAAATAAGTATGAAGAATTTTGTATTCCTATTGCTGTGATACCCGTGACATATAGTAATAATTTACCAGGAACAGATTTTTCATTAGGAGCTGACACTGCTTTGAATCAAGTTATTAAGGTACAGATTTTAACTTGTAACTCTATATAAATAAAAATAAAATAAAGTATAATTGTTAAAAAATTATTATTTTTAACCATCGATTGTTGTAATGATGGTGTCTACGTAGACTACTATGGTCTTTAGTTAAAAAAATTGATCTTAACACTTTAAAAGGGAAAGTAAAGGAATAATGCACGCAATACACTAAAATTTTACATTAGTTATTTGTAATCAAGTTGTATGATATTATATTTTTCTAACGACCCCTTAAAATGTTACTGATTGTGCCAAGGAGGAAGACTTGAAAACCTACACAGCCCAGCGCAACGAAACAAACCTGTTACCTACATACTAAGTCACGGCGAGTTACTAATTAAACTTAATATATCGCCTATTAGTTATTAGTTAAGTACTAGAAATTAAAATTAATCCAACACTATAAAAAGTCTAAAAACTACAAATCAATTTTAATTTTTGTGAGTTTTTTTTTTAAGTTTGACTTAAGTAGCTATTTTTAATAAGCATCTTAAAATATATAATTTTTAACCATATTACTTATTATATTTATGATGCTTTTAATAGGGGCAATTTAACACTTTATTAACCCATTAGTTTATGAGAAACTTAAAAAACAAAACCTTGTTTTTACATTTTCGTTTTGAATTTCTAGCTAATACTTAAATAGTGAAATATCCTCAAAAAGTTATTATTATTATTATCATTATTGTACGACATATTGATTAGTAGTCAATTTTTTAAGATCTAGTTTTTCGGTCGCTCTTTCGACGGTTTGTACCTTAACGTCGTATTAAAAGAATGCAGTATAGTTGATGCTAAAATTCTTAAGAAATCACTCATTCAAGGACTAGCAAAAAATAATGCAACTCAACCGCAATTACAAACCATAAATAAAATTTCCACTACACTATCCACACAGACATTATTAACTTTAAACTTAGCTTCAACTTTTTAATTCGTTAATGTCCAACCTTGCTTAAATATTTGTTCACAATAAGTAAATAAAAATATTTTAATATCATTTAGTATTGTAGTATAGTATTATCATATAAAAATTAATACAAAAAATATATATAAAGAAAACAACGTTATATATTCATTGTAATTTTAAATTTTAAGTTCATTGTGTGATCGACTGATATGAATGATAAGNTAAGGTAAAAAGATTTTTAGATATTCATTCTTGTTTCAGTTGTGTGACATTATCAGACAATCTGCTGAAGGACATAGGCCTCGAACATTTGTCGTTGAAGTTTTAGGAGGTAGTTGTGGATACCTTACTACATTAGCTGGTATACCAATAAAAAAATCTGCATATGTTCAACTTTGAATTTGTTTAAACTTTTATAGCAATATCGTGTGGTGCTGATGCTTCTTTTATTAAAGAGGAACCATTTAATTTGCTGGATATTCTTCACTGTATTACTGTTTTAGCAGAAAAATTTTCCACAAAAAAAATTACTCGAGGACTTGTACTCAGGTATGAAATTTTGTACATGAAAATTTTTCAAATTATTAAAAATAATCTTTGATATTATAGAAGCCAGTTAGCAAATGAAAATTACACTACTGAATTAATCAGCAATATACTAAGCGAGGAGGGCAAAGATTGGTTTGTCACCAGAACTTCAGCACTTGGTACATATTTTAATAGAAACTATTGAAATTTATTAAGTCATTATTGAAGTGCATCCTAACCCAACCAACTATTAATCAAATCGTATGTGCACAATTTGTAATAAATTTAATATGCATTATTATACATAAATAAAGGAAATATTGCAACCGGAGGAGTTCCTAGTCCTTTTGATCGATCAATTGCATTAAAACTAGGCCAAATTTCTACAGAATGGATAAGAAATATTCAAAGTCAATGTTCAGGAATAGTAACATCACCTAATTCAGCAGTAATGATAGGATTAAGAAAAAATAGTCATAAATATAACTCTTTGGAAAGCTTAAGGCACATTACAAAGTAAATACTCTCTATAGAGTATACTCTATTACCCTACTATCACAAAAAAAGTTTATTATATAATTAGATTTTTTATTGCATTTTTATTAATTTAGAGACTACATACCTAATGATATATGGTGGTTGAAACTTCGATTGCTGTCAAAAATGTTCGAAGATCCAAATTACTGGAAACAATTTTCTAATTAAACTTAATTGCTTTATTTACGATCAAAATTATAATTATTTTTAAACGAACAAATTCTACTATATTATAATATAATTTCTGTTAAGGTTATTAAATATAGGTTTTTAAAAGATAAAATAAATGGCTGAATAAATGAAAATAATAGTACTCTCACGTAACAGTAAATCGCTCGTTTAACGAACGAATACGTTCGTCAAATAGATTCTATTGTTCTAGGTATTGTTCGATGAACATTTATGTAAAACGATTGTTTGCAATTAATTGTAATAATACAAATATATATTTTGAATTTTAAATTTATACAACTTGATTTTAGCCTCGATGCGAAGCTGAAAAGGTATTAATTTTACCATGATGTGTTTTTTTTTTGTCTATTGCCACTTTTTCTCAGCTCTCACTGGACCGATTTCTTTCAACAATACGTCAAAAGATCACAAATTATATCTAGTCAAAGACATTACCCTCAAAAATTGAAAAAATTTCCCTCGTTTCCCGTAAATGAGGGAAACCTCCAAAAAAATTACAAATTTAAAAATCACTAATTTTCGAAATTTTTATTTCAAATTATTTTTTATCAAATTCTATTTTTGTGTGAAAATTCTCGATTTTATTTTTGACATTTTTATCTTTATAATGCTATAACTTATTGAAAAGTATATGGATCAACACAATTTTTTTATGAGAAATAATATTTTTTAATAATCCCTTTTTCATTCGACATACTTTATCTTAATCAGGATATTAATAAAGAACTAGCAGATCATATAGCTTTTGGAATAATCCACCAATTTTTTAAAATTAAACACTATCTAAAGATTTGCATCGAAGCGTTTTTTTTTTTTATAGTGATTTATAGTGATTTTATAGTATCACTGTTAGATATCATTATACTTGATCCAACTATGCCACGTCACCACTGTACCGCGCCCCCCTGTGCTGGGTTTTTTTTATTTAAAACTGCCATAACTTTTTCAAAAATGAACAAATCAATATAATTTGTTTTTTTTAGATGCATTATGTCTTTACCTATCATTTTAGCTTCGATGCGAAGCTGAGAAGGTATTAATTTTACCATGATGTGTTTATTTATTTATTTTTTTTTTTTTTTTTTTTTTTTTTT